TAATGTACCACAAGAATTGTCCATAAAATAATCTCAACCCCCATGTGTGTGTACGGTCACCGGCGCGGTCATCCCCGTTGTTCCTGTAGCAGAGCTCTTTATAAATAGTACATATGGTCCCTAATGATCGTTTTTTATACAAATATTTTATTATCATGCTCTACAGTTATAGAAAAATCTTATGTTGCACTTTTGTTATAAGTTAATTTTTGCAAATTTAAAAATATGAGGGGCATGTAATTCTTTTTATGCCTAACTAACAGACTTTTTGTACTGAAAGAGTGAATAATGAAAATTTTGAGGACAAAAATGTGACAAAAAAAAGTTGGGGACATAAGTACTATAATAACAAATGGCTAATCTACTCGTACAAAATAAATGTCAAATAAAAGACACCATAGATTGCTGTAAAAACGGTGGTGGATATTCGCTCATGAAAAGCCTAATTTGACCTAAGTCGATGTAGCGTTACGTTTACCCATGTTTGGTATTGATTAAAATATTGATTTTAATTAAATTAAAGTTAGCAATTAATTTTAACCATACATTTTATGGAATTCACAACTTTTCAACCATATATTTCATCAGTGTTTATTAAAATTTGCTAGAAAATCTAATTTTAATCTCCACCAATAAGGGGCTAAATAATCAATCCAACTTTGATTAATTAGGTATTCCATATTTTTTTTATCATTCAAAAAACAATTTATTCGATAGAAAGTAAAATGAGAATCTTTCCCCTTCCTTATATAAAAGCTATGTATAATGATTTTATATTAGTTTACTTAACGAATTTAGACTTTCTCCACTAATGAAAACAAGCTGACTTTTTCCTCAATTACATTATGTATCAAGTTCTAACTAATCGTTTTGTAAGAATCAATCAGTTGGTGTGTCACTGGGTAGGTGGGAAACCCGTAGGAAGGGGGACGTTGAAAGATGAAGTAAGCAAATATTTTTATATGAACATACATCAATCGTTACAACCTCCTATTGAATCGTAGCGTGATTAGACTGCAGCAATGTGTGAATGGCGACTTAGTATTTGTATTCTCAATCGGCGATGTGTGAAGGGGGACGTTGAAAGATGAAGTAAGCAAATATGCTTATATAAACATACATCAATCGTTACAACCTACTATTGAATCGTAATGTGGTTAGACTTGGGGTCTGGGGCGATGTGTGAATGGCCGACTTGGTATTTTTATTCTCAATCGGTGAAGCCTCGATAACCCCACAGATAGTTGAGAGACCTACAGTTGAGCATCTGTGCTTAAATTATTTTAAGTATTCGGGTGACATGACACACTACGAACATGGAGAATTCATGACGTTGAATCTGAATTTGGTGAATCAACAAATTGCTCCTTTGTTTGAAGGATTTGATGAGTTAACCTGTAAAAAAAATACTATAAAAAGTCCAAGATCGAAACTCGGTGTCTTTGGGGACTAGAAAATTTCTAAAACATTTGTGTGCAAGCAACTAAAAGCACAGTGTATAAATTAATATACAATTTGATAATAATTATATTTTGACCAATTTAAAATATCATACCACATTTTCTTCCTCTTCTAAATTTAATATTTTAGTTGGATATCCTTCACTTAAAAACATTTTTTTAAAAATAAAGTAAATTTTAAATTATTTTAAACACATCCAAACATGCTTTAACTTTCGCTCGATATTGTTAACGAGAATCGAGTGCTAATGACTTAAAATCATCGACAATTGATCAACATTATATCGTCCCGGCAAAATGTATATAAACTAAAACTTCATACTAATATGGTGCATTGGGCTGTCACATTTTATAAATTACGCTCAATCATTCAATTAAGTGTTCCTCATTAAAAGAATCAAAATTAAATGCAATGTTTCTGGAAATAAAAAAATAAAAAATAAATTAAAGTACGTAGTGGGAGAAATTGAAGACAACGACTATTGATTCTTTGGATGCAAATTTCGCGGCAGAATCGTCGGACAGCTAACGAACACTTGTAATGACGTTAATTGGTGATGACGTGGCATTATAAATTCAATTTCCTTTCGAGATTTCCTATATAAATTCCATCTTACGTTAAGCTTTGTTCATCAAACAGAGAAATAACAAACTCTTTCTTCTTCTTCTTCTTGTTTGTGCTCTGATTCTTACAATCTTCGACAATGAAGGACAAGTTTTCGACCACTATTCTGCAAAGCGAACAACTCTCTAAGGTTCGTTTTCATTTCTCGCACCACACTCTCTAAGGATGACAAGTATTAGAATTCATGTTCGTGTTTGTTGACCATTGTTTTTGTACGTACATTATCTTGCAGTATCTCCTAGAAACAAGTGCATATCCTAGAGAGCACGAACAACTCAAAGAACTCAGGAAGGCTACTGTCGACAAGTATCAGTATTGGTAAGTTAAAAAATATATTTAGCCCGTATTCGATAGAGATTCAAATCGGATTAAAATTGAAAAATTAGCAGATATTGTTGACTTTTATTAGACGAGTGAGACTCACTAACGGCTATATTTTCAATTTTAATTGGATTTTAAACCTAGCAATACAAGCTCTTAGCCTCTGTTCGGTGTGAATTAAAATCAGATTTTTAGTAGATTTTGATAAAAGTTGATGAAATGTGCGGTTGAAAAGTCATGAAACCCATAAAATATGTGGTTAAAATTAATTGTTGACTTTTACTCAAATTAAAATCTGAATTTTAATCCCTACGAAAAAATGGGCTTAAACAACAAACTATCATAAAGAAGATTATTTTGCAAAAGAAATTAAGCCACTAAGAACCTATTTCATGTAGATTTTTTTTAATAGATTTTGTGAAAAATGATTATTTTGGAGAATGTGATTAAAAAGTAGGGAAAAGTTAAGTGTCTATGTATACAATTATTTTATAAGAAGAATAAGTTGAAAATGAGTTTTAAAGAATCTTTAAACGCTAACTCGCGGGTTTATTTTATTATTAATTTCAGGAGCCTGATGAATGTGCCAGCAGATGAAGGCCAATTACTATCAATGCTATTGAAACTGATGAATGCAAAGAAAACAATTGAAGTTGGAGTGTTTACTGGTTACTCACTTCTTTCAACTGCTCTTGCTCTTCCAGATGATGGCAAAGTAATCAAATTTTAGATTATAAGTTTGAATAATAAGTAATAATTAAACACTAACTATCAATGTCTTCTTCTTTTTATTTTAGATTATTGCGATTGATCCAGATAGAGAAGCATATGAGACTGGGTTGCCATTTATTCAGAAGGCAAACATGACCCATAAAATCCAGTACATTCAGTCTGATGCCACCACAGTTATGAACAAGTTCTTAGCTGATGTACTCTCTCTCTCTCTCTCTCTCTGGAATAATTTTTTTGAGAATAAGAAGACAATTTGAACCATCTTAAATAAAGACAGTCAATCGACTCATTTACAATAACTAGACAACAAAGCACTATGTAAACTATTACTGCTGTTTATAAGGTTGGTTCGATCTCCAAGTCTCAACAATTATGTATAAATTGGGGATTCCTTTAATTGGACCATTCGATATGTCATTTATGATTATTAACGAAGTCTGTTTATATACAGGGAGAAGAAGGGACGTTCGATTTTGCATTTGTGGACGCGGATAAGGAAAACTACATAAACTACCACGAGCAGCTGTTAAAGCTAATAAAAGTTGGAGGGATTGTAGCTTATGATAACACATTATGGGCTGGTACAGTGGCATTATCTGAGGATGAAGAAATGCTTGAATACTTGAAGGGTTGCAGAGGTGATATAATGACACTGAACACTTTTTTAGCAGCTGATTCTCGTATTGAATTGGCTCATCTTTCTATTGGAGATGGCCTCACTCTCTGCAAGAAGCTGGCTTAAATCAATAAAAAATATATTAATAAGCCTTTCTGTTGGCAATTGGAGTATATTATTTTATATGTTGTAATTTGAGGTTTATGTTGTGTGTATTAATACCTCAAGTTGTTGGTCATTTTCTTGGACTATTGTTTACTGTTTCTCAAGAAGAAGTTTGATGCTACAAATGTATCAAGAAGAAGTTTGATGCTACAAATGTATATAGAAAGGAGGGACAAGTTGTTGTTTATTGAAAATCTTAATTGTTAATTCTGCTATTTTTATTTCACAATGTCATTATAGTTCGCATCTTGTTGAATTGTCAGTTGTGTCGATCAAGATACTTACAATAATGTACTAATCAATTGGTTTGTTTGAAAGCGACGCCTGTTTGGTAGTGATTTTTTTATTTTTTTCTTTTTTTAGGATAATTTTTTTTGTGAGTATGTGATAAAAGGGGGTGGGGTGAGTTATACACCTATGTGTAAAATTATTTTTGTTAAGAGAATGTGTAGTTTAATGTTTTTTTCAAAAAATGAAGTTTAAAAAGTAAAGATAAACAGAAGCTTTGATAGACTGTCCTTTTCATATAATATATTCACAAGGCATGAAGTGGAAAATCAAAATCCAACTTTGGGCCATCAAATGAGAAAACTCCATATTTGCTACACCAGATATCATTTTCATGGAATGTGATTTCAGATTTATATATTAAACTCGGTTAACATCACTAAATCAATGGGAAAAGTCCAAAAGTATTTTTTACCTTAACCACAAGGAGGGGAATGACGAAGACAGGACTAGTGATTGGAGTAAAGTAGTAACAAGCTAATCGTACTGAAATGTGCAACTAGATCACCGTAATCACGTCACATAAATATTTTTGTTTCTCGTTCTTGTGTTCATTTTAAATTATATTTACATAATTTCTTTAGTTCATACATCATACTTCCTATCTCTAAACACAAATGTTTGTTTCACCTTTAACTAGATGTCAAGTTGAATTCCCTCGTAAGTCGGTACTATAATTTTTGTCTTTTTTTCTTAATAAGATGTGCAACATAGAGTAGTTCAAAAAAAAAAAGAAACATAAATAACTCTTTCTGTTGATACCTCTACTTTTCCTTCGAACTTTTTGTGTGTAAAAGGAGGCTGAGTTAAATCAAAAGGGACAAAGCTTCCTTGAGTTTCCGAGGTATATATCCATGGCGTGACACATAATTTTGTCATTGATTTCAACAACATTTAAAACAATCAATAACCTCGATTTTGCCACATCAAACAATGTCAAACTACAATTGCTTCTGGCTAAATGTGTCGGACAGAGGGCCCACCCTTCTCTACTTTGTGAACCTTGTGAATGGAGGGTGAGCAGAAATCCTCATACAGAGTCGCACACTTACTTGAACGATACAGGAGACTAGGGAATATGATGAGAATTAAATAAAAAGGGATAAACACATGACCACTTCTTGAGGGATGACTTTTATTAACTCTTCGTTTTCTCTAATTTCTGTATTTCCTGATTTAATCAAATTCTGTAGTTCAAGTGCCTGGGAATTCCATTAATCAAACGTTCGAGTTAGATCTCATACCCAGTCAACATAATTATCGGTAAAATGAATAAGTAATGGCAAAAACTCAGGTCCAGCACATTTGAATCCAAGCTTGCAATTAGAAAGGATCAACATGTCAATAATATAAGCCAGGATATACAAAAAAATTCATTGTGCCTTAAAGCAACGTTCATATCATTCAAAGTCAACCAATATGCAGCAGTTATACAAAGCCAACTCTATCTCTCAAACACACACAATCACTCATGGATCCTCAACTGCTTCTGCTCTCATTTCTCTGTTTGAGCATAACAATGTCAAATGCAGCAGGTAAGTTTAAACAGCTAGTTTTTCAATCTCGATAAAATTAAAATTCTAACGCAGTATCTATTGAACAGATATACTGCACAACCCGGATTTTGAAATCCCTCCAACAAATACAACAGCAAACTCCACCTCACAATTCATGCTTCTCACCAAATTCAACACCATTCCTGGATGGTCATTCAATGGCACTGTCTGGTATGTAAGTTCTGGTCCCAATATCTCGTTACCAGCGAATGGCCATGCGGTGCAGTTGGCTGAAAATGGCAAAATCAATCAAACTTTCGGAGCTACAGATGACTATCGGCAGTATATCCTCACCTTCACACTCACTGCACGTGGTGATGATTGCTTCAATAATGCCACGGCTGTGAATGTATCTGTTCCTGAGAGATCAAGGGCCTTCTCTATTCTAGGTCATTTTGGTAAAAATCTGTGGGAAACTTATGCTTTCTACTTGGGAGATTGGGGAAGTAAAAGAGACTCCATCAAACTTGAGATCACAGGCGTGACAACAAATACAGCCTCAAATATTACTTGCTGGCCTATAGTAGATAATTTTCTTATCACAAGGCATGTGATGCCAAGATGGTATGATGGTATGTTATTCTCAAATCTTGTCTAATCAACTAGTCGGTATTGACTAAGACACAATCATACAATTTTAAATGAATCAGAAATCAAGGAAAAGAAATGTGGCAAAATCAGCTTTTAGATACCTGAGAACTCATGCACCTATAATTTAAACACTATTCTCATCTAATTTTCCTACCTAATCTATACAAGGATGAAACAAACTACGTTATTAACAAAAAGAATGGAAGTACAAGATTTAGAAAGCTTCTAACCTACTTATCCAATCACGAGCAGTGTCAATGTGACAATCAAGCATGTTAGTATTTTTAATAAATTGACAATCTAAGTCAATCATAATTATTCCTTCGTTCTCTATTCATGTATAAAAAGTTTTAACTCCAAATTCTTCAAAGTTTTGATCTACGTTTGCAAGGCGGAACTGAAGCTGGATCTTGGTCAAACATATGTACTGAGGAATTAGATTTATCTTAAAGTATCTTACTGACTTCCCAGTCTATTATGCAGATAACATTCTGGCAAATGGTGGATTTGAGGTTGGACCAGCATTTATCAAGAACTCTTCAGAGGGAATTCTATTAAATGAAGAACCGGAGATATTTAATTCCCCAATGCAAGGCTGGTCTATCATTGGAATAATAAAGTACATAGACTCCAGTCACTACAAAGTTCCCGAAGGCAGAGCAGCAATTGAGCTTGTTTCTGGGTCTCCATCCGGAATCCAAATAGACCTAACCCTCACAGTTGGATCCACATACAGTTTGGAATTCATGATGGGAGATGCAAATGATTCGTGCGTGGGAGATTTTATTGTGTATGCTCAGATAGGAACGACCATACAGAATTTCACAGTGAAAAGCAATGGCACAGGATCAGCCCAGAAGCAATTTATGACATTTGAGGCAGAGTTCACGAGACTAACATCCATCAGCATTACAAGTTTCAATGAAACTCGAACAAATGATAACGTGCTTTGTGGCCCTGTTATTGACAATGTTATTTTTCGAGCTTCTGTTTCTTATGCAGAAAAAATGAAACAGTACATAGGAGTTTTGAGCTTGCTTTTGACCTTGTTGATACTTCTATAGAAGAGTAACTTTAGAAGTGATCATATTCTGAAATAAATAATGCATCAAGTCCGTTCAATTTCTCTAGTTAGTCTATATTAGCTCTACAACTGATAAACTATTTTCATACTAACAATGAGATTTACTCATTGAAAACATAAATACAAGAACCCCATACAAGGCTACAAATTGCAACATTTCGCTTTCACAATCCTTGCTCATTAAAAACATAAATACAGAAACCCCATACAAGACAAAATTTATCAAGTAATATTAGGCATCTAAATATTCGTTTAAATATGGAAAACCACAAGAAGGAACGCGAAAATAATAACAAAATCTAAGTGAACTTCTGAAAGAAAGCATCAATCCTACGCGCACCAACAGGAACGGGCTTCTTATTGGACCGTGATTTAGCCCGATCTTTCTGTTGATCCAACGACTGAGCAGGCATCGGGAGAGAATCGAGAAGAAAATCACTCGTTGGCTGATGCCTTTTCACCGCGACTCGCAAATGCTCAAGCTTTATGGTTTTTCTCTTCTTCTCCAATGCCACACCGGCCGATTTCACTGCAAGAGATTGTAGAAAAAGCTCCGTGGCATGCGTGATGAGAAATAGGGCTTCCGAGTTAACCTTGTTGATGTCCTTGTCTAGCTTCATGATCCTTTTAACTCGCCCAGTCGGAATCTCGAGTTGTACAGACTCAGTAATGGCGTTTTCTGGTTCTTGCTCCGCCATTTCTGGGTTTGGATGAATTCTGGAAGATTGGGGTTCGGGAATTACTCTTTTCTAGGGCTTGGATTTGGCGGGAAATAAACGTAGTTTAATGGAATCTTCGGGGATATTTTGGTCGCTCGCGCCAAGAGAAATTTGTTAGCTAAGACGATATTTATGAGCTATCCAGTTCATTTCCTGATTATAATTGAAATGTGTTAATTAGTTTTTAGTAATTATGCCAGTGGAATCAAATTGAGGAAAATTTAACCCACTTCAAAATTAAGAAATATATTTTAAAATTTTAAAAATCAGATATTATTAAATTTTATTTTATGAAATAATTAATTAAATATATTGAAGTCACAACTCTATACAATTAATTGGTCACAAATTATTTCATGATCACAAATCAAAAAATTTATAGGTCACAATTTATTCATCGATCACTAATCAAAAAAATTATAGGTCACAATTTATTTTTCGATCACAAATCAATAAGTCGCAACTTGTTTAACGAACACAAATTATAAAATTAATTAGTCACAACTTAATAAGTTGTGAGTCACAATTATATTTTTTAGATCTCATATTATTTAGTGGACATAATCAATCAAATACTTGGTCACAACACCCCCATCCCCATCCCATCTCATCCCACCCACGACCAACGCCACACCAGACTGTCAACATCACTACCAAAGTAATCACAACACCACCACAAACCATTTGAACCCACCACGACCACGACCACCTTCACAACAAACCGCCATCACCACCACTGCATGAACTGCAATACCACCACACACCATCTGAATTCATCACAGTAACCACATCACCACCACCACGACATACCGCCAATATCACCACGACATCAACCACACCACCAAACATCAACTACCACAACAACCACATTATCACCTCTCAAGCCACCACGCCAACGCCGCCACCACCACACCGCACCGCACCGCACCCCACTTCACGGCACCACACAGCACCACAACCATCACAATCACAAACCCTACATACCATCACCACCACCGAACAGTCTATCACCGCACACTAAAAAAAAGAATAGATCTGCACGGTGGTCTTTTGCGATGGTCTTTGACGGTAGTCTTCTATGTAATAAACGTAGAGAAGGGGTGGATGATGTTGTAGCGAGAGCGGCGGCGCTCCGATGATTCTACAACGATGAACCGTGGTGGTTTTGCCGCTGCGAGGGACTGTTGCTCCGGGTCATTTACAGTAGTGTGTCGGGTCAAGCTGCCCGCGCGACCGCCAGAGTGGCTGAAGCCGCCGAAGAGAAGAAAGATGTGGGTTGTGATTTTGGAATTTTTAGGGTTTGGGTGATTATGATTTAGAGAGAGAAGATAAATCATAATGAATATTATTAATATTAAAGATTTGAATTAGTATTTAATTTTTGTATAAATAAACTTTAGATCTGATTTTTTAAATGTGAAGAATACATAAATAAAGTGTTTACTTTTACACATTTCAAAAATACCAAAACATGTTTTAAATTTCAAAAATCATGTTTCTTTGATGAAATAATAATTATTTAATTAATTTTATTATTAATATTTAATTCTACTATAAAATAATTAACACACCCTCACCTCCGCCACCCCTATAACTCCGGGACTATTCCGACGATCGTTCCGGTCACTACTCTCTTCCGGTGACCGTTTCGATGACTTTTTCGGTGACTGCTCTGATTCCGACAATTGTTCCAACTTCGGCGAAATTTTTTAGGTCACAATTTGTTTATCGGTCACAACTAAAAAAATTAAAAGTCACAATTTGTTCATCGAACACAGGTCACAAAATTTATATTGTGACCTCCGAATTTTACATTTGTGACCATCGAATTTTATGGTCACAGATTATTTATCAACCACGAATTAAATTTTTTTATAGGTCACAGATTAAAAAAATCAAAATTTTTGTTGGTCACAACTCTGTTACAGTGAGTCATAGCAACAATTTATAGGTCACAGACACCC